GCTTCAATTGTGGAATCACTCAAACAATACTTAAATAAAACGAACACGAAAATAATGTGACAATCAGTGGAACACAGAAACAATGCCTCAAATAGTGAACACAGACGCAATGCTTCAATAAGAACAACACTTAACGAATGATTCAAGTTAATGAATAATAAAACAATGGTGCAATAAGTGGAACAGAGACAAAATGCTTCAATTGGTAAACAATTTGTTTTATAAGAGGAACACTAAAAAAGTGTTTCAATCAGTTGAACACCAAACAATGCTTCAATTAGAGAAACACTAAAACCATGCTTTAATTAGTGGGATACTGAACGAATACTTCAATTAAAGGGACACCGAATCAATGCTTCAATTAACATAATACTGAACGAATGATTCAATTAACGGAACACTGAATCAATGCTTCAGTTAACGGAACACTGAACGAATGCTTCAATTAAAAGAACGATGAAACAATGTTTAAGTTAAGGAAACAGACAGAATGCTTCAATAAGGGAAACACTGAAGCAATGGTTTAATAAGAGGAACATTGAAATAAAGTAGAACACAGGAACAATGCTTCAATTAGTGGAACAGAAACAAAATGCTTCCATTAGGGAAATACTGAAACAATGCATCAAAAAGAGAAACGCTTAAACAATGTTCCAATTGAAGGAACGATGAAATATTGCTTTAGTAATAGGAATACTGACGTCTGTGTAGCCGTGGTTATTGATAATGCAAGCATTCGTATATTGTTTTTTATTATTTCGGACAGGAAAAAACCCATCAAATAACACTTATAGCACTAATTTATTCCGACAGTTTACAAGGGGGAAATGATGCTATTGTCTATCTCTACAATTATTATTTTTTCATTTCGCAATTTAGGACTTATTCTATTCTAGAGCAAATGGTTTCACCTTCATTTGTGTCTTTATTTGAGTTTCGGTATCTCTCTCCCTTCATTTAAATAGACCTGGAGATCTTTTTTCCTTGCATAGTGACGATATGGTAAATGATTTTGTTTTTTTTATTAATTTACATGCAACATGGACAAAAATTAAACTTAACAGTGCAAGTATGATTATTGTCAATACATTTCCTTTCTAAACATATCACTTTATGTTTTTTCCTCGGTCTACACTTTCCTAGCGTATTTTACTTACTTAAGTACATTTATACCTTTGGCTGTTTCTTCTTGTGTTCGCAGTAGATTCCCCAGCCCCTCCCAACACACACAAGATAACTGAGGCCTTATAGAAGATTAATTATTTGTTCATCGTATATTTTCTTGCAAGCATTAAGCTTTATGACCTATATTATAAACTGTATAGTAAATCATTCTTGTAATGTCACTTGTGTGTGTTTAGGTGGGATCAGGTGTTTTCTTCGAATAGCATGACTTCAATCAAATAATGGAATGGTTTCACAATAATAAAAATGCAATAAGGGGAAAATGACTCGTAATGAAAACAGGGTAAATGGTAATCCGTAGGAGGTTCGGTATTTGATTGATCATAAATCTAAGTTTATACGATTCCTTATTCGTCTATGTCATTATCTATGTCTAAACACGTTTATATACATGTACATAATTTTATTGTGTAAAACTCTCTTTCAGTTTAAAGTACCATAGTCATTTTTCATGTTAGTAAACACCGTCCCTCTGCAGGCAAAAAAGCTAAGAATTAATGAATTCTACTGTAGTTTTTCATGCAGATAAATTACCCCTTCTCCCATAAATTCTATTTGCATATAACTGAAGCTTGATTGGGCAAAGGTACTACAGTTCGCCATGTTGCTCAATTGGTTAACACGACATGAAAATGATCAGAAGTCCAGAGTTCGAGTCGTGTTTTCCTATTCATCATTTGAAATAGCTTATTTTAAAAACTTAAAACGGTTATATTCAGAATAGAAAGACATTTGATATTAAATAATAAAGTTACATCACAAACACCATTTCAGGGAAACCACAATCCTTCCTAGAAAATGCCGTTTTATTTGAGTTCAGTTGATGGCATCAACGAAATCCCCAAAAGGTTCAGCTGTCCATACATTTCTTTTCTGCACCCAGGAAATAGGTCACGACAAAATCGAACCCATGACACGATACACGATACATTGCGTATGTTATATTAGTAGACTATTCAGATGTCATTGATTGAGATAAAAGGAAACGAGCGGCAGCAAAACGGTAACACCGACACGCTTTGAAGTTGGTTCAGCTCCTCAGTTTTCCTCCAATGACATATATTCACAGCCTAGCCATTGGTAGGTTTTTTCGTCTGAAACTAGTCAAATAGATCATCACATGCCTTCGATTTGTTTCTGATATATCCAATGAATACTTTTGTTTGTTTGTTTGTTTGATTTTGTTTAACGTCCTATTAACAGCTAAGGTCATTTAAGGACCGCCTCCCCTGGGTGCAAGATGCATGCGTGTAGTGTATGTGTGTGTATTTTGGGAGGCTGCGATATGTTCGTGTTTGTCTCCTTGTGATAGCGCGGAACTGATGCCGACTTTATAGTGCTACCTCACTGAAACATACTGCCGAAGACACCCAGCAGGACGCCCCACCCGGTCACATTATACTGACAACGGGCGAACCAGTCGTCCCACTCCTAATTTGCTGAGCGTTAAGCAGGAGTATAAACTACCATTTTTAAAGACTTTGGTATGTCTCGGCCAGGGGACAGAACCCAAAGCCTTCCTCACAGGGGCGAACGCTCAACAAATGGCCAAAAGTGAGGCATTGTCAAGGGAGACATTAGGAAGAAGAAAGTTATTTAGAAAGGAGAGAAGAGATAAGGTCCCAATGAATACAAAGAAGAAACGGGTATCAAGAGCTGAAGAGTTTTCGAGGATGAGTTGCTGGTAAAATTTTACCGTTTCTGATAAATTTATTCAAAACTTATTTTATCATTATTTTAATATAATCTGATAACTATAATTACAAGTTTAGCCCCTATTTGTACTTAACCTTATACGATCTTGTGCATGTAATTACTTCCACATTTCCTTACTGCGTTCTCAGTAAACTAAACAATAAACATTTTGATGAACTATCACGTAAAATAACCACACTTTGATCAGCATTATTAACTGCTGTATTAAACCTGTTTATGCGTAAATAATACATTTATTCCAAATGTGATACATTTTCTTACCATCAAACAGAGGTGCGCCTGTTTTTATATCGATAAAATGTGGTATTATCAACTTCAACAAAGTCAATGTCCATTGTGATTTACTTGAGCAATGCAAGCATATACAATCTTGCGTGCGTCAATAATTGTCCTTCACATAAATTTCCTTACCGTTCTCGTCTTTATCATGTATATTGCTTTCCATATATACTGAGATAATACTTTGTTCGCTCTGATGGAGTTTAATGCATTTATTTCCCCTTAGGTCCTCATCATACGATCAGCTATGCCATTCGTTGTTGGTGCAAACAGTGTATCAGTTTGTTTCATTTCTCAAGGCTGGATTTAACAAATTGACGAGATCATCTCATGGCATTAATCAAGTGGAACACTGAACTTATATGTTCAAGTATATATTTGCACCTGTGATGTTTACTGGATATTTGGAAATGCTACTGTTTATAAATGGTCGCGTTGAGACTCTTCAGTTGAAACTTCAGCATTAGCAATGGTTACGAAATCTATATATATTTTACATCGCTATATAACATGACATCAAGTAACATTCGCGTGCGGATAATTTTGCGCAAATTTGTTCACCACAAAACAAAACATTCGTTTATTTCAACATCGCGAAAATAACAGTATGTCTAGGTCGATTAAATCCCATGATGGCCATCATAGACTCCTGGTGTCCGAAAACATTCGAATTGAAAAATAAATCAATTTCTTCTCTAGAAAGTCCCCATGCACAATTTTAAGTCAGTTTTCACCTTGTCGTTACGTATAAAAGCGTCTGCTATATATATGACCATTGGAAACCTTTCTTGGTTTTGATTCAAGGATTGTTCTCGCTGTAGATAACAAGAGGCGCATGGGCCTTAACGGTCACCTGATATATTTATACAGAGATTTGATTTTGTTTTTAACATGAACAGAAATATTACTCAAAGTGACAAAAAAACAATAAAACCACCTTATTCAATACCTAGCATACAGATTTCAGACTAAAAAGTATTTGAAACTAGCACCTCTGATTCTAAACAAGGAAAATGAAGAAATTTTAGCACACTGACTCCTTTGAGCCCCACCCTACAGCCCTTGGGGGTAGGGCTGGCTCAAAATTTTCAAAGTATCAAACTGTCAACTCAAGGTTATAATTCCAATCAAGTTATTGCCATGTAATATTCAAAGTATCATTTGCCATTATAAACCATAATAAATCCCCCCCCCCCCCCCTTCCCCAGGGGGTAAACGTGATGCCCCAGGGTCATAAACCTTAAGACTCTTCCATCTCTGAAGAGTAATTGATTCTACCATATCTGGGTCTTGAGAAGAAGATTTTTGAAATTTTAGTCAATTTGACCCGTTTTGGCCCTGCCCCTCAGGCCCCTGGGGACTTAAGACTAAACCGGCCACTATTCTTGTTGACCTTTGTCCATGGAAGGTCCCTACAAAATTTCATTGAAATTGGTTCAGGGGTTTTGGAGAAGAATATTTTTGAAATTTTAGTCAATTTGGCCCTTTTTGGCCCCGCCCCTCAGGCCCCTGGGGGCTTGGGACTAAACCGGCCACTTTTCTTGTTGACCTTTGTCAATGGAAGGTCCCTGCAAAATTTCATTGAAATTGGTTCAGGAGTTTTGGAGATGAAGTCGAAAATGTAAAATGTCTCAGGTGACCTAAAAAGACAGCGGGTCACACATATCACTGCGATATTGTTTCAAAATATTGGCGTCCGAATGTCAGTTCTTCGAACGATTCAAAATATTAGTTGGTGGTAAGTTTACGGTGGGATCTTAAACGAATTCATAACTTGTTTATAGTTGAAAATAAAAAAAAACATTTCATTTTTTAAAAACTTCACCAGAACTTTTATTGACACATGATCGTTCTTGTATCGAATTCCCTTTTCTACTCTAAAGCAAAAGTAGAATCACGTTTTCAGTTTTTTCCCAGGTGGACCATCGTCCACGAGGCCATTTGTTCTTTTCATATTAACTGGTAATACATTTGCGTCACTCGAAGCAGTTTTGGTAGAATGATCATCAGCTTTTGTGGATTTTTCTCCAGAATGACTTTGTTGGCACTCGGTAACGACAGGCTGGTGTGTTGTTTGTAGTCCCTTTACTTGCACAGCACTCATCGTGGATTTGCAGGCGCGCCTGGACTCTGTAACATCATAAATATGTTTTGTTCACTCAGCGTCCATCACATATATGTGAACTGTTATATGTGGTAATCCCTCATTACGTTGTCTACACGTTGTCGTCAATTACGAATAAGCAGTGTCTAAAGAACTGGGTTGGTGTCGAAGTTGACAGGATTTGTGTAATAGTTTGCATGATCACGAATGCATTGTTCCTTGCTCTGAATAGAATTTAGTATCATCGTCGACCGACGTTCACAAAGAAAGCACATTATCAGGAAAATGTAACCCACTATCACTCGAGTTTGTGATAGTAATATGCCTTTTTTGACGCAATGAAATGTATCATTGGATTCCGCAGAGTCCAAATACATGAACACCAACACGCTTCTCAGAGTATCTCAAACACTTGATTGGATTTATTACAAGTTAGAAAGAATAGGAATGAGTCTGATATATATTCTTACATTTGACTATTTGACTGTTTCGTCAATAATTTAAAAAAAAAAAAAAAAAAAAAAAGGAAAGAAAGGCGACGCCAATTTTGGTTTTCATCTTGATTTGTTGCCACACATGCTTCACAACAAAAATACACGTGATGATGTTAACACATTGATGGAAAACTACAGCATATCATGGAAATACGGACCACATATACATGCTGATAGCATAGTGACGAATTCTATATGCATCAGTCAGGTGGGTTATAACGAATATAAGCGAAATAATTAGAACGCAGCCCTGTAATAATCCGTGAAGTTGTAAGATAGCGATTGAAAACAAATGTGCGTTTGGTTTATTAGTGAATTGTATTGAGCAAAATTTCCTGTGATGGTTTTCCTTATATCCATGTGTGATTGACATGTAAAGAATCATTGGTATAGATTTGAATAAGTGCCCGTCAATTAACTATTGCTTTGAGGACAGAACTTTCTTACGCCACTCATTACAGCAGTGGTTTGTCTGATTAGGTTGTGCAAAACGTAAAAACGGAAACATCATTTACGAAATCCTATCAAATTTTGTCGAATTAATTGCTCTAATTAAAGGATAGAAAATCAGATTTGTTGTACTGAAAACAACATTGAAGTGAAATTCTAACAAACATGTCAGTCCATTTACAAACAGACTAAAAATTGCTTCTGACAAAAGTAGGATAGACATACAAGCAATATTTGTTTATTTAAGTCGCATGCCTAATGGCAGTTCACAAGATTATCTTAATGAGAATATTTTAGTCGACCTAATCAATCAATAAAGCATTTCTAAAGCTGTCTTCAAATGTTTCGCCAAAAGACATAAGGGCTGCCAATGTCAATGACGAATTAAACGAAATTACCAAGACCAAACATACACAGATATACAAAACGGTGATTTACGTACTGATGGAACACTGTCACGAAACACGAAAAAATGTAACAAATAAACGGAAAAGAAAAGAGAAGTTGACAAGCGACATAAACTGTGTTCCCATTTGTGACAAGACCACTAAATCGATACAGTTCAGCGTATGAAACTCATATTATGTTGTTATAAATTCCTTCCTCCGTGTAGTAAAAGTGTGTTCTATTTAAACAAAAACGGCTAAATATCCAACTTCTCTATATGAGGTTAAACTCAAAACGTGTTACTTAGAACTCGGATATACAAGTCTGTTTTTCGTACAATGGCCGTATACTTCCCTATATTACCATTCTATGGCACTCCCTCTTTAAAACCCTACAAAATTTCGGATTGCATTAATACAAACTGAAAAAGCCGTGGCGCACGAGTTGACGTTTTACAATATTTTGAACTTTATGCTGAACTTTATTCAGCAGATTTCAATTTCTACGATAGCGAAATACTCTCAAAATATTAAATATAACTATTGACTGGGTTGCTTTGGGATTTACAGTTTGTATGAATGACGCAGCTTTGCAGGCTATCAAAGCATTATGCCTAGCGCAATGCTTCAGTACTTTGTACATTTATTTCAGTGTATTTTTTTACAATGGCAGTTATTGTGGTGTTGTTGTTTTTTGTAAAATGACGTTTTCATGTGATCTTTCACATTTATATCTATTTTTGGACAATTGCAGTATGTGTCCGTGTTGTTAAATTACCTTTATTTCTATGTATTTTATCGCACAACACTATGTTTATCACAAGTTGTTTTAATGATAATAACAAACCCATCGTAACGAGATTTGATGTATAATATTCAAACATTAAATATTGATCTCGTAATTTGTTAATCGTTTCGTATCTGCTCAAGCACGTTGTTACAATGTTACATCTAATCCAATGTTTCATTCCCCAAAGCACCATCTAATTGGCATTTTATAAATCATTGATTTGTTACCATGTAAATGAACGGAGGTCATTTCACGCAAATGACACCCGTGCTATGTTACAACTCATTACAAAAATATTGGTTTCCATGGATAGAATTTGAGTTATTGGATGTAAATAACAAAAACTTTGCTTGACTAAGGAGCGCAAGAATTTGTATACATATTCTTTTGTACATAGTTTCAATAAGTGCGAAGTATCATCAAAATACTTTTGATAACACATACAGAAAGAACGTGACACCTATTTTCTATGTTGTGTTGAAATAAATCTGTTCCGCCTTACCGTTTACATTTAGGCGATATGGTGATTACTTTAAAGTCGACCTTGGTTCTAAATCTTCATGAAAGTTTACGAGATAGATTGGCCAGCCTAAATAAAAGTAATTGTTTTAACCTTAATGACTTGCGTTGTATGTATTCCTTTTTATATATAACACCTTGATTATGAATAACAAAACATATATGAAATTGATCGATTGTTATCGGTGTATATACTGCTGTGTGCGACAACTTAAAATTAATCAGAACGCTTTTGCAAGTGACTTTTTCAGTGTAGGGAGAAAAACGAGACCATAGTAAGATAGCATATATCTTAAAGCCATCATTATATGTCTGTCTCACCTGCATGAAATAGTACCGCCCGACAGTTCCTACAGACCGCTGCCTTCCCCTGGGCTTGTGTCATTCCAAACAGCATGGCTCTTATTATAGTTAAGGAAACTGTACAACCACGCATCCATCAACAGAAAAAATGTACTTTTTTTATAAACTTTTCATTAAATGACGCCGCGCATATCTAAATTATGTAATCACCATAGCAATGATTACACAGGGAAAACCCTGGACACAACAGGTTAGCATTAGTTGCCTCGTACGATCATGAAGTGGAAAACAGCTCATTATCGATAAACAAATACCCCTAATCAAAAACATTTCATGCACAGCTTCAATTACATTCTTCGTTCAGAATAAATGTATGTTACTGTAAAGTGTAAACATAAGGTATTTGGTCTGGCTTTGATTTCACGAATTACAGTAATCAACACACAACACAAATTATATGAATTAAGAAACCCCTTACTGAATACTTATGAACTTATAAATCGGATAATTACGATTTCCTTAATTCAAATATCCCCGTAAGGAAAGAATTGTTAAGGCTGCAGAAAACACTTAAGTGAAAGCAATGACCGTTATTTATTATACTAAACTATAAATCCACCGTTCAATTATAATTCGAGATTATGTACGATACATCTGGTTCTGATACTAACAGCAATGTAGACTATACCAACTTATAATATAACAACTGATTAGATGTTCATGCTTTTGAACGTACCCTACAAATAAACCCGGTCCCAAATATCCCCTTGGCCTGTCGTATCGATGCCATGATGAACTAATGGAACTCTTGAAATCTGTCTATCTTTTTTTCACATCTAAATGATCACCATCTTTTGATTGAAACACACAAACTGTTTAACTATTTTGTTACCAATTTGGCCTGTGTGACCTTATAGTGTTGAAGGACCGTTATTCTGTAAGGGTACTTATTTTTGCGGACACACATTTTAGCGTAATAACGAATTTTATCAAACAAACGCATTGATAAATTAAGAGTATTCACAACAGATGCATTAGCGCAATATTCAAAGCGCGAAAATCAGAATACCGCTAATATGCATATACTAGAAATATGTTAAGTCTTGGCTACAATGTACACCATTGTACATGCCGCCAATCCAACGATTATTTTTCGACATTAAAGGAGCTCAATGTCTATGAAAGACAGCAATATAAAATAGTGCTGTTCATTACTCTAATGAAAGCCAACTCCACAGCCCACACACACAATCACTCATCGTATATACATTCTTTTTACTGACAACCAAACACAAATTAGGATGGCGTGCAGCAGAGATAAGGATGGACAAATTATGTTTACAACCCTTGAAGATCGATTATTTCAGCATTGTGGGCTTTTTAAAGGATCATAACATATCACATATCTCCTTCATTGTGATGTAGCAATGCAATAAACGTAAATGATCTCTGATTAAATGTATTTTCGTATGAAACTGTCAAAACGAAAACGAAAACTATTTTTGAGAGTCGTTTAAATGAGACCAAGCAAATTAGTAAAATTGTTATCAGAATGAAGTACAATGTAGCATAATTAAATAAACGTTTATTTGCATACAGCAAACTGGCAATCAAAATTAGCCTGAAACTTGCCACTAGATAATTTGCATACCAAATTCGGTTGAAATCGTTATATTTTAGGATAGTTTGAATGGAAACTAATTCACCTACATATGTATCACCTGTGTGTAGAATCATCATATTATACGAAAATATGTACAGTATGCATCTAATTAGCAATCGAACTTTCCCTGCCACTTGCCAATCAGAATGTGCATACCAAACAGATTTGAAATCCAGGTAGTTTTGGGGATTTATTATAGGAATAGCCAAACTCGACATACGGACAGACCGACGGACAGATAGAAAAACGGACGAACACAAATGAATATCCCTCTTTTCTCCGAAAGCGAGAAAATTAAATCGCCAATAAATATTTTGTTTAACATTGTTCATGTATCGTATAAGTTGAGCTTAATTTTACATTTATATTAAATATTTCTGGACCAACAAAAACATCGAGACAAGATATTTAATGTCTACATAAGACAACATTAAGGAAGATTATTACGTCTTATGGTATCGCTATGACAAACCTATGGCAAACGAAGTATTGCTATGTCAACTACACCAAGTGAAATATATCATATCACATAAAATACTAAACTACAGCTTCAACACAAAAGGACAGGCTTTCAAACGAAAGGAAAAGACAACACAAACCAAAAAAACACGAAAACAAAGAAAAGACATTATCAACCTTCAGAAAATAAAATAATAAAAAGAGGCACTAACAATAATATAGTGAATAGGCACAGTATCTTAAACTTAGTGGGTATGTCCGATAAACGTCCGATAATACGTTGATCGCGCAAAAGCAAATACAATTTGAATAAAAACCTTTATATTATTTTTAAAATTAAAAACAAACTCGTGAAATAAAAACCTTTACATTATTGTGTTATATTAATTACAAAAACAAACAACTGAATACACTTTTTGAATATTCAAAATGCATCAGGTTTTTTCTTCTGATCAGTGAATGGTGTGCATGAGAAGACATAGCAGGTTATGTTTTGTAGAAGCTACACATGCTTTTGCTGAAGATATATATCAAGAAAATAAATACGGGCTTCATCGTCCGGTAATGACATATCAAGATTACGTATAGGATAAAATGATTAAGTGCCATCAGCATGACAGTCCAGTGATACATTGCGGAGTGACATACATAAAGTCAGTAAATTTATTTTGAAGCCGGCAGATTTGCCGAAGATGGCTGCAGAATCAATCGTTAAACCTTCGAGAGCTTGTTGAGATTGAAGGATTATTTATTTGACAATAATGAAGTCGAAAATATCTGTACATCAGGACACTTAGTGAATACACTAAAAATACAAAGACAATACGTCTTTTAGTGTGGTATCTAGTTTCACTTTAACTCGGAATGAATATCCTTCATAATATAATGTAATCTGAAAAAGATTGACATTTTTTATTCAATGAGATGCATGGAGCATGCACATCTGTCAACCTTCATAAAGTGCGTAGGTAAGCTGAGAATAAAGGACACAAGAGGTATATTCACCTTAACCTTACACCACAAGGATTCGAGAGATGCGGGTTGATGACAACCATGTTCAAATTTTATATAAGCCCTCAATATCTCATTCGAAAATATGCAATTTTTTGTTCAACAAAAGAGTCGATACTTTTCATTATGCTCAGCAGTGTTCTTTTGTTATTGCGTTGTCCCTAACCTAGATCTCGCTTTGAGGATGTGGCATTGTCTGTACTTGTTCTAGATATACATGACGGAGGTCTTCAAAGAACCAGCTTACGCTTACCCTTCCGGAACACAAGGTTTGCAAATACAAAGTTTGACCAAATGTGTTACCCCTAAATCTGTGATGTATTTGCTAAACATAATTTCAAACTCGTCCCAAGCATATATGACACTCGAGAACGTTGTTACAGCTTCTTTGATAAAGGTGAATCAAACGATTATGTGTCAACACAAAAGGTCACCAATCAACCAAATGCTGAATATATAACAACAGAAACTAAGGAAACGAAAGGAAAGACTTCGGCAAACTCTTCAAAATGGCGAAAAAATCAGGTGCACTACAATATTAATAAACATTCTCTGCACCACACGTGGCATCTTTCATAGTCTCTCAAACAAATACAGGAGAGTATGTAGGTCACCAACAAAAACAGGACATGATAAACAGTTCTATGATCTATGAAGTCCTAAGAAGTCGGAGCCATCAAAAAACGCAGAGAATGATACACCTATTTTAATGCAAGTTGTTTTGGAATATTTATCTGAAAGCTTAAGCAAACAATACTTTAACACAGTAAAGCAGGTTTCCAAATATATGTCTCCTATTAATAATCTTTCTGAATTTACATGTAAATAGGGGTTTCTAAATATATGTCTCCTATTAATAATCTTCCTGAATATACATTTAAATAAGGGTTTCCGACACTTTCAGATATCTACATGAGCAATGTATTTTTCACATTACAATAACATATACATTTCTTTATACATAATGAATTCCACTTTCACACATACTTTCATACTAATTAATATTGCTCTTTTTGTAAGTGGTATTTTATTATTGATAGAATAACTATGAATCATGCTAAACATGGCAAAAGCGTGACGTTATTCGACGTGCAAGATTGCGTGCAGAAACCCTCTACACAGGTTATTGTCAATGAACCTGCAAGATTGGGGAGATTTCGTAATCATTATCATACAATATACTTGTTTATATCATCTAAAGTCGCTTTCCAACCCAAAAGGTTAACCCTTTCGCCACTGTAGACCCATAATGGACTCATCCAGATCAATGCATGGTAGAGTTCACTAAAGTTACATAGGGATGAAAGGGTTAATTGAGTTAGCATTGAGAATAACAAATAGCCATATTAAACTCCCCCACCCCCGACACAATTGTGTTTAAATCTGCAATCTTTATTTTGATGAAAGGATACAGGTTGGCAACGTCATATGGTCCACGGATGGAAGAAGCCTGCAAACAAATGAATGAAACACATGTGACTACATCGGTGAAGCTAGGGATAGGAAAGTTAGAAATCCAAGTTAGCCCAAATTCTTGTTGAAACGAAACGGGAGGTGTGTAACACCTCTTACTGATATGATTCTCAACCATTAAAGGAGTACTGGTTAATTTCAAATTAATAATAACAAGTGGATATATTAAGAACCATGTCACTACTCAAATGAGATCATTGTGGCCATCGAAATCGTTAATTTATTTTCCGTATTGTTAATAATCTGGTACGGAAGGACATCTTACTGTCAATGTTCACCATCTCAATTATTACTCCTGAATGAGACACTAAAGCCAGTCGATTACTTGTATGTATATGTAAGTATCGATGAAGAAAACTGCTGTCATGTTACATACAGCCAACTAATTTGTTCAAACATCAATGATTCATTTAAAAACTGAAATTAGAACGTACATACATCGTATATCAACGCACATATTGTTTCTGCTCGATTAATTTTTTTCAAATAATTTTATTGATCGTTTTTCTCATAAAAATGTATCAACCTATCAAAAAGTAAAGCCCTGTAAAAAAGAAACGTTAAATTATGCTATAATGAGAAATGTAATTGCAAGACAAACCCATTGAAATTTTACCCATGTGCGCATCGTCATTGAGAGAAACGTATTTTAAATACAACTGTATATTAAGTTTTAATTGGGAAAAGTCTATATTATATTCATAACCCAATGTGATGCATATACAAGAAACTTTACCTGTTCACACCCACTTGATAAAATCACATTCTGAAATTCAAAATATCAGTTGTGTAAGCAATTGTCTCAAGCATGCAAATTCAAATTGGTATTAAGACAACGTCAAGATCGACACTGAAAATGTATTGAACCACTCTTTGATGCAATCACATGCCACAAATAATGGGTTGAAATCTGTTAGGGCATTTTATATAAGGATACCTGAATAGCGTGCAAGAAAAAAACAGGTATGCGGAAACTGATCGCAATTATATTTATTTAAGCATGAAAATTGGTATTTAAAAACTTTTGTTGCATCAGTTGAACATATTCTTTTTCATAACATCAACAGTTTCACTGGACAAAAATGTCCAGGTGTATAGTATTATTTTCATTTTATAAATTTAAGACAATTTTGATAAATTAATGGTTAATGTATTTGACAATCAACCACAAAACGTACCTTGCCTTTACAGACACTGACTAATGACTGTGTATTGTGGATCATGTCTACCCTTGAACTCGAGTCCATAACAGCGGGGCTGTATTGTATCTCAAAGTGTATCCCTCTCTCAATGGCCTGGTGAATAAACGATAAACAGTGTTAACTGCGAACCAAGTTAACAATATTAAGCAACTTCCCTTTCTCCAATTTTGCCCCAATTCCTTGCCCCCTGACAAAAAAAATGTAAAATAGTTGGAGACCCTACATACCCTTGAAATATATATATTTAGATGCTGAAAAACATGCCAGAGGGATGAATGTATTCATAAAATTGTTTTCGCGTCAATTAAAACTGAAAATGTACATGTACATGTTAGTGAAAGTAACACCATTAATATCAGAGCCGATATTTCTGCTCCAACGTGTACAAGGCCATTACTACAGCGAAATATGCCAAACCAAACACTACCGGTACCAGTGTTCCTGTTCAAGCATCTACATTGTAACAGGCTATTATTACATTAAAAAATGTGTAAAATACACGCGAAGCACATACACAAACCAAGACCAACATTCCTGTTCAGTATTTATAAGTTTATACATATAAAAAACAAATGACAAGAGTTTCTTTGTACCTCCCTAGTGCGCTTTCACCTCTTTAGGGGTTCATCAGAGGAACTATTCATATTTACTGTTTATATTTTTATACATATATTTGTGTAAAAAGGGTTCAATGTACAAAGAAATATTTATGTGGAATCTTGAAGAGAAACTTCCATTATGTACAGCTGTCTGGATTAAAGAGTATACGCTACAAAGGATAAATTGCAGTCAGCTACAACTTGTACCAAATAAACACAGATTGTCGTTAAAGACCTGAAAAATTGACATTTTTGAAATATTGAATTATTTGAAATTACTTTTACCCTTTTAAACGCCAGAATTATTGTTCTTGTGTATTTATACTTTGCTCCAATACCCTTAATGTAAGTAACTGCTCACGGTTTGCAAAATAAGGCATATTTTACACAGATGTTTCTTTTTCAGTAGGGCTCATTGTAACACTTTTTAAACATTGTTTGTCTACTTACATACTGTACCTATTACCGTATTTGACTGCAAATAAGCCTCCAACTCTAGTGCATGAACATGGACCAAAAGTAGGGAGGGGCTTAATTGCGAGCACCTCCCCTGTTCACAAATATCAGCCATCTTGGATATACCACTGTTTTGATCTAAGCCACACTTAATATCATTTACATGTACCTATAGTTGTTCCTGTTGTCACCGAAAGCTGTTCAGTTCATGGTGCTGTTGTTTTTCTTAATTTATTTTCTTTTATCAATTGGTCTCAATAATTCAATTTATCAAACACCAATTTTGTAAATTTCAAGGCCGCACAAACACTTTTTTAAGCATGGCCTAACAATGTTCCTCCTATATATACAAATTGATTTGCATCAGTTTACATGTTCATTTCGAGGCAAAAACATATCTTTAGATCGCTAGTCAAGCCTACTGTCTATCTGGTGGACGAACACACTCGTTATGGACACAACATATAATTTAGTTAAACATCAAATGAATACTCACCATTGTAAATATCTGTAGGGCGGGAATACCTATAATAAACTCATAACATCATCCCCACAACATGGTTTCCATAAGAATTGAATGAGAAGAGGAAAGCAGTACATGGGAAAACTTAATTAGTTACGTTTGTATTTTATCTTGCTCTGGCCATTCAGGGACAATGATGGCATTACATGCTGAGAGTAATATGTAGGAAGAGCATGGAAAAGAGGTCTCACCGTGTTCACTGAAGGTCGTCTTATGAAGTATGGTAGTTTCTGTGTCACGTCTATAATGATGATGTCAATATCAAGTGTCATGCAAGCCAGCTAAAATGAATATTAAAAAAGAAAATCAAATCTTGACATGGAACACTACCGCCTGCAAATAACACAGTGACACCCATCACTAATGTTATTACGAAATCGATGTTGTAGGCTGTCAGTGAGGAAAGCATTTGATTGAAAATAATTATGCTAGTGTTGCAATTATACACGAAATGAGATGTGTGGAAAAAAACCTCTTTCGGTGATGGGGACCCCGTTATCAAGTGTCAAAAGGTTGCTGACAACAATGTACATTCAGAGATTTTAAATAAAACAGCCTTATGAACCTATCAATAGTGACATTAATTCATGTGCACTACCTGTCAAATGTGTCATCAATTCGTGTGCAATACCTGTAAAATGTGACATCAATTCGTGTGCAATGCCTGTCAAATGTGTCATCCATTTGTGTACATTACCTGTCAAATGGGTCATCAATTCGTGTACCTTACCTGTCAAATGTGTCATCAATTCGTGTGCAATACCTGTCAAATCTTTCATCACTTCGTGTACAATACCTGTCAAATATTTCATCAATTCGTGTGCAATACCTGTCAAATGTGTCATCAATTCGTGTACATTACCTGTCAAATGTGTCATTCAATTCGTGTACATTACCTGTCAAATGTGTCATCAATTTGTGTGCAATACCTGTCAAATGTGTCATCAATTCGTGTGCAATACCTGTCAAATATTTCATCAATTCGTGTGCAATACCTGTCAAATATTTCATCAATTCGTGTGCAATACCTGTCAAATATTTCATCAATTCGTGTATAATACCTGTCAAATGTGTCATCAATTCGTGTACATTACCTATCAAATGTTTCATCAATTCGTTTACATTACCTGTCAAATGTGTCATCAATATGTGTGCAATACCTGTCAAATGTGTCATCAATTTGTGTGCAGTACCTTTAAAATGTGTCATCAATTCGTGTGCAATACCTGTAAAATGTTTCATAAATTCGTGTACATTACCTGTCAAATGTGTCATCAGTTCGTGTGCAATACCTGTCAAATGTGTCATCAATTCGTGTCCATTACCTGTCAAATGTGTCATCAATTCGTGTACATTACCTGTGAAATGTGTCATCAATTCGTGTGCAATACCTGTCAAATGAGTCATCAATTTGTGTGCAGTACCTGTAAAATGTGCCATCAATTCGTGTGCAATACCTGTCAAATGTGTCATCATTTTGTGTGCCTGTAAAATGTTTCATAAATTCGTGTACATTACCTGTCAAATATGTCATCAATTCGTGTGCAATACCTGTCAAATGAGTCATCAATTTGTGTGCAGTACCTGTAAAATGTGTCATCAATTCGTGTGCAATACCTGTAAAATGTTTCATAAATTCGTGTACATTACCTGTCAAATGTTTCATAAAATTCGTGTACATTACCTGTCAAATGTGCGATCAATTCGTGTGCAATACCTGTCAAATGTGTCATTAATTCGTGTACATTACCTGTCAAATGTGTCATCAGTTCGTGTGCAATACCTGTCAAATGTGTCATCAATTCGTGTGCAATACCTGTCAAATGAGTCATCAATTTGTGTGCAGTACCTGTAAAATGTGACATCAATTCGTGTGCAATACCTGTCAAATGTTTTAGAAATTCGTGTACGTTACCTGTCAAATGTGTCATCAATTCGTGTGCATTACCTGTCAAATGTGTCATCAATTCGTGTGCAATACCTGTCAAATGTGTCATCAATTCGTGTACATTACCTGTCAAATGTTTCATAAAATTCGTGTACATTACCTGTCAAATGTGCCATCAATTCGTGTGCAATACCTGTCAAATGTGTCATCAATTCGTGTACATTACCTGTCAAATGTGTCATCAATTCGTGTACATTACCTATCAAATGTTTCTGACATCAATTTGTGTACATTACCTGTCAAATGTGTCATTAATTCGTGTACATTACCTGTCAAATGTGTCATCAATTCGTGTGCATTACCTGTCAAATGTGTCATCAATTCGTGTGCAATACCTTTCAAATGTTTCATCAATTCGTTCATCAATTCGTGTACATTACCTTTCAAATGTGTAATTAATTCGTGTGCAATACCTGTCAAATGTGTCATCAATTCGTGTGCAATACCTTTCAAATGTTTCATCAATTCGTGTACATTACCTATCAAATGTTTCATCAATTTGTGTGCAATACCTTTCAAATGTTTCATCAATATGTGTGCAATACCTGTCAAATGTGTCATCAATTCGTGTGCAATACCTGTAAAATGTGTCATCAATTCGTGTGCAATACCTGTCAAATATTTCATCAATTCGTGTGCAATACCTGTCAAATATTTCATCAATTCGTGTATAATACCTGTCAAATGTGTCATCAATTCGTGTACATTACCTGTCAAATGTGTCATCAATTCGTGTGCAATACCTGTCAAATGTGTCATTAATTCGTGTACATTACCTGTCAAATGTGTCATCAGTTCGTGTGCAATACCTGTCAAATGTGTCATCAATTTGTGTACATTACCTGTCAAATGTGACATCAATTCGTGTACATTACCTGTCAAATGTGTCATCAATTCGTGTGCAATACCTGTCAAATGTGTCATCAATTCGTGTGCAATACCTTTCAAATGTTTCATCAATTCGTGTACATTACCTATCAAATGTTTCATCAATTTGTGTGCAATACCTTTCAAATGTTTCATCAATATGTGTGCAATACCTGTCAAATGTGTCATCAATTTGTGTGCATTATCTTTCAAGTGACGTGTCACCCATCAGTCAATACGTTTTACAGGTTTCTTAATTATTAATTACTGTCTACCCGCTAAATCTCATTGGAGCGAAAGCAAATCTTATTCAATCGTCCCTCATTGGAACTCCTCTGAAATATGAACAAAGTACACACACATGTTAATAATTGCATCTATAACATTTTGTAATTGATACCGCATATTAATAATGAATCAAACTGTATTCTACAGCTGTTTCGTCATGCCAGGACTCATCGGTAAAGACGTGAGCTAAAAACGTGGAAATGTAATCACTTGATTTTTCAAGTCATTTCGCATGCAAGAACTTACTACAAATATAATTATTTCTGTGATACCTGTTGACTGCTGAGGGCAAACATAAAGCAGAAGGTTTCATGAGATGCAAGTTGAAGACTATGTGGTCGCAATCAGTATCTCATTGGCATACATTATATTTCCATGTTATGAAAGATCAACGTTTTTATCCTGTGTGCCTGTCATATCGTTATCACAAACCCGGTTCTATATTTTAGGATGTGACATTACTAGGACCTTTGCTAGATCCACACGAAGGTTGGCATCATGAAGCAGAGGCCCATATCAATCTAATTTCACGTTTTCAAAGGACTTTATGTAAACTTGCCATTTGTTTGCTAGTTTATTGATTTTTATTTCAAATGAAAGTTTTGTTGATACTTAAAGATTGCTTATCTGCAAAAAATCATTGCCAAAGAGCAAAACTTATGCGATGATTACAAATAAATGATGTTTTTCTCCCCATCAGTGTTCTTGTTTGTCGGTCAAAAATCAAATCATCCCCAAAAATAATAATATTGACATGCGTGAAAGATCTGCTCTAACAATCCAGAACAAATTACTCACATGGAATGTTTTCTCTGAAGTAGGTTGAACGGCCACCAAATCAAACTTCTGAATATCCTCTTGAGCCTGAAATGAATCAAACAACACACATGTCAGGTTTCTGCTGACCATTAAATTGACTTCTTAAGACCTGCAGAAACGTGTTATCCGGTCCCTTGTCTGCCTCAAAGATCACCGAGGAGTCAAGAGCCCCTTCACTATCATCACGTTTCCATTCTTACTCCATACTGCAGATACATGTCTATCTGCTGTCAGTATTTATGTCTCCCTCCATTTTACATTGCAGATACATGTCTAAGTCTACAAATTCTTTACATTGACTGTATCGAACTATAGTAAACAAAGAATGAATAATGCTTAATATGTTTAAATGAAATTACTTTATTACGAATAGAAGACTCCAAAGTCCAATTGGAAGACTGACAGTAATCAAAACTTTAATAATATCTCAACTTAATCATCTATTTATTTCAATCCCAAATCCTGACGAAAACTTTATCAAAAATCTTAACACAGAACTATACAACTTTTTGTGGAATAGTAAAGTTGACAAAATAAAAAGGGATGTTGTAATTAAAGAATATATAAATGGTGGACTAAGAATGCTTCATACTGACTCCTTTATCAACTCACTTAAATGTACATGGATTCGCAGGCTTAACAATGGAAGTGGCAAATGGACAAATATATTATATACGAAATTAGATAAGGATAAGTTAGCTAATTGTGGGACTGAATATATTGAACAGAGTATTAAGAACACTAATACCTTGTTTTGGAAAGATGTTTAAAAAGCGTGGCTAAAGATAATACAGGCAAATAATACAAACAGCTATGAATCCTTTCTTAAAACTCCGATTTGGTTTAGTAATGAAATAGAAATAGCACGCAAAACTATCTTTTACAAAGAATGGTTTCTAAAAGGATTAAACGTAGATATAATATACGATCTAATTTTTTAAAATACCAGGGCATAATATCTGTAATTTCAACCCTGGCATCCTCCTTAAACACTTACTGAGGAAGTAAAATATTTGAAAAAAAAAATAAAAAAATACGAAAGCCTATTGAGCTAATTTTTCGTAGAAGAAAAACACATTTCGCAATATTACGAGAAACTTTGCATAATATCATCATATCGCAAAAAAAACTACGAAAATGAGCTCAATTGAATTTGGTACTTTATATCTAAAAGGAGCTAAATGTAAATTTACACTTTGATGCATGCAACAACAAATATCTGAATTTTAACCTAATTAATCTTGTTTTTCAAACATATTTAGCATTAAATGAACAATTGATATAAAAACAATGAAATTAAAGTCAATTTCTTCTGTCATCTAATGAACACTGCATCAATTATTAAAGAAAACACTTTTGAAATTTCAACAATAGCTTGCAAGAAATGTTTTCTATAAAAATTTAATCCATCAAAACTAACACTGCCAACAAAAATAGCAAGTGACAATGAATTCCACACCCTCTCACATATGGCTCCAGGGAGTGGTATATATCAAAACACATTTCGCAATGTTACGAGAAACTTTGCATAATATCATCATATCGCAAAAAAATCTACGAAAATGAGCTCAATTGAATTTGGTACTTTATATCTAAGAGGAGCTAAATGTAAATTTACACTTTTTTGCTGCATGCAACAACAAATATCTGAATTTTAACCTAATTAATCTTGTTTTTCAAACATATTTAGCATTAAATGAACAACTGATATAAAAACAATGAAATTAAAGTCAATTTCTTCTGTCATCTAATGAACACTGCATTAATTATTAAAGAAAACACTTTTGAAATTTCAACAATAGCTTGCAAGAAATGTTTTCTATACAAATTTAATCCATCAAAACTAACACTGCCAACAAAAATAGCAAGTGACAATGAATTCCACACCCTCTCACATATGGCTCCAGGGAGTGGTATATATCAAAACACATTTCGCAATGTTACGAGAAACTTTGCATAATATCATCATATCGCAAAAAAATCTACGAAAATGAGCTCAATTGAATTTGGTACTTTATATCTAAGAGGAGCTAAATGTAAATTTACACTTTTTTGCTGCATGCAACAACAAATATCTGAATTTTAACCTAATTAATCTTGTTTTTCAAACATATTTAGCATTAAATGAACAACTGATATAAAAACAATGAAATTAAAGTCAATTTCTTCTGTCATCTAATGAACACTGCATTAATTATTAAA